CAAGCTGTTTCATTCAATCTGCTTGTTTCAAGCTGTTTCGTTCAAGTTGTTTCATTCAAGCTGTTTGTTTCAAACTGTTTCGTTCAAGCTGAGGCCGCCTCCATATACGCATTCAGAAACGTAAATAAACCCAGGTATCTTCAATAATATTTTCTAAACCAATAAATTCATATTATATCATTTTATATTGTGTATTATAATGTCTTTGGTACAATTAAAAATACGATTATTTACGGGTTGGTTTTTTACAATCATTTGTGTTTGTATTGTGAGGCTGAAGAACTTACAGCGGCGCGATTCGAACACGAGAAGTGAACGAAAATCTGCTCGATAAATTTTCGAACGTAGTTGTGTGTAAAAGTGTTCAATTCATAAAATGAGGGCGGGGCGGGATGGATTACCGAGCGTTAGGTCATTGTTTATGAGGACCTTGTTTATGAGGACCTTGTTTATGAGGGCTTTGTTTATGAGGGCCTTGTTTATGAGGCCCTTGTTTATGAGGGCTTTGTTTATGAGGCCCTTGTTTATGAGGGCTTTGTTTATGAGGGCCTTGTTTATGAGGGCCTTGTTTATGAGGGCCTTGTTTATGAGGGCCTTGTTTATGAGGGCCTTGTTTATGAGGCCATTGTTTATGAGGGCTTTGTTTATGAAGGCCTTGTTTATGAGTGTCTTGTTTATGAGGAGGACTTGTGTTTATGAGGACCTTGTTTATGAGGACCTTGTTTATGAGGAGGACTTGTGTTCTGAGGAGGACTTGAGTTATGAGGACGAGCCTTCCTCATAACGGGAGACGTTAGAGATTTCCTTTAAAATAATGTAATTAAATTACCATAATGGAAAAACTCTCCTACCAATATTTAAGCTGCAGACTTCTAATACAATGAAGTTCCAACACAAGAACAAATCCTAACCTAACCTTAGTTACACTAATCTATCTTAAGCTACACTAATCTATCCTACCCTAACCTATACTGACCTAGACCATAATATATATTATTTATACAATTTTGTATTTGACTTAATACAAACTCTTGCTGTAATACTGGTGTTGTGTGGGTGAAATATTAACTAATGCATCTTTGATGGGATTCGTTTTTGTTTTTTTTTTGTGAATTTGATCGATGTCAACTACGTTTTCGCGGATCTATAAGCGACAGAAGCGACATTAATTGCTTCCATTGATGTTCACTTGTCCCTCTCTGTCAGTAAGTGAATAAATGGTTGCAAACTCCTAGTTGATATTCATTTAGTTTTTAGCGTCCCGTTGCAAACTGTCGGGGCTGGTGCAACAGCAGAAATTTCAATTTCATGGTATCTATAGATTTCCAAACCAAAATATACAGATATAGACACATACTTACATCCTCTGTATCCTCCATTTTCTTTCATCAATTTTTTTTCGCTTCCTTTTTTCTCTTCATTATTCTTAATTCCTTCTATCTCCTCGACATTAAAAATATGCCAATTTGAAGCTAGTTTTTTTTTTACGAGGAAATTTCCGCTTGTAAGGGTTTTCTCAGATTAAAAAAATAGATACTTTGGGCTCTTGTGAAAGAGAACAAGGGGTTGTCTGAGGTGGTGACGGGGAGCTAAGACCTGTCTTCCTCTCTACTAAGTAATAATGTTCATTATAAACACAACAAAGTCAATATTTCTCCCGTAGATTTGATACAACTTTACTGACCAAATATGAACTTCGTTTTCTGTGTAATATTGTCAGTATTTTGTTACCTATTCATCGTCTACCTCCTACCTACTTCTTCCTCTTTTTCTTCTTCTGCTTCTTCTCCTCCTCCTCCTCGTACCCTTGTTTCCTGCACAATTATTTTTACCACTTCCAAGTTTCCCAAACTTCCTCAAGGATGATATCTTCTCAAAAAATATCTCCCCCTGCAACCCAACTCACAGAACGGTTCTCGCTTCTAATTATAGATCAGACATTTTGATTTTGATTCAAGTTTGCTCCTACTGGAGCTGGTTTGGTCCCGCAGCCAGGAGGCCTGGTCGACGACCGGGCCGCGGGGACGCTAAGCCCCGGAAGCACCTCAAGGCACTGAATAAATGTCAAAACAGGTTTAAAATCATTGAATATATACTTTAATACGTGATTAAATCTGCTACAGACCTTAATATTAGATGGTGACTCTGAATCTCACACATTTCTCTAACAACGAATTTCATAATGATTTACAAACATGAATTATTTGTGTTTTTGTTTGTGCCATTTGACACAATTTCGTGCTCCAAGTACAACATAAACATTTCATTCAGTCTATTACATAAACAGTTTATTGAATCAGTCAAGTAAACCACGACTGGAAGTGCTGGAAAAAAAAATTTGCAGGGGGAATAGTCTGGAGTACGGGATGGCCATAAGCTGGACAGTGTAGGCCTAGCTAGGCCTACCCCCCCCCCTTCCCTAGTATATCTTGAGGTTATCTTGAGATGATTTCGGGGCTTAGCGTCCCCGCGGCCCGGTCCTCGACCAGGCCTCCTTTTTGTTACACACCCCCAGGAAGCAGCCCGTAGCAGCTGTCTAACTCCCAGGTACCTATTTACTGCTAGGTAACAGGGGCATCAGGGTGATAGAAACTCCGCCTATTTGTTTCCCCCTCCAACCGGGGATCGAACCCGGAACCTCAGGACTACGAATCCCGAGCGATATCCACTCAGCTATCAGGCAAATCTCTAGCCAACTTACTCTCATTTCTAACCAACTTACCCCCTCACTTAGAGCTAACTTACCCCTCATTTCAGGCCAACTTTCCCCCCTCTATCTGCAGGCCAAATTACCCTTTCTACAATAAGCCTCCCCCTCGTACCCTGCAACACCCCCCCCCCCCCACTCATTATCTCAGGGCCAAGCCATGAGACCCGCTAATTAATTACCTTCAACTTGTTCCTAAAGTTCATAGTCAGTGTTGACAGTTCTAATTATCATCCTTTATTATACCTTGCCTAAATTTAGGGATCCACTCATAATTCTTCCCTAAATTTTGGGCTTAACTCTGCAGTACGTCATATGTTTTTGATTGCAGATAAAACATTTTTTGCATTAATATTGTATTTAAATAGACATGTGTCTCACACACTCTCAGTCCCCTCTTCCACTACTCATGTCTTGATAGGCGTAGTTCATTTTTAGTTCGAAATATTAGTATAATACATTAATACTAATCCCTTGCAGACTTAAGAATATAAGAGTGTGTATAATACATTAATGTATTATACACACTAGAGAGACGATCTTGTTACATATACACACTTTGAGTACACCCCTGGAACACATACAGATCATAGCTCACTTTGAATACATACATACATACACACACACACATACACATAAATTTTTGAAGAGTGGTGGGAAGACGGGACACCACGAGCGTAGCTCTCATCCTGTAACTACACTTAGGTAATTACACTTAGGTAATTACACCAGAGTACCTATTATATATGTGCTAGTTACTAACACACATATAATAACAGCTAGTCACTAGCTCAAATATAATAAGCTAGTTATACCAACACACATATAATTGCAGATATAGTTACTGGCAGAAATAGCTCGATTCACATCTGTATGTAATTAGGTGATTAACGAGTGGTGATTAAGGCAGATTAAAGCACAGCCACTTAATCTTGTAACAGGTGAAGCAGGAGCCACTAACAGTTTACCGTTAATGATGCATCTGTAACAACAGGAGAGGCAGCCAACAGTTTAGATAATTGAAGGTGAATTTTTCAATTTGAATTTTTCAAATTTGAAAATTCAATTTGAATTTTCAAATTCACTTGAGCTAGAAGTGAATTTATTTGAGGATTTTATTCTGTATTGATTTCTAGATTACAATCAACTCTATTCCTGTAATCCTTTACGTGTTGCAATGTTTTATATTTTGAATGAAGCTTTATATTTTTGAATGAAGCTTTACGCTTTGTGTTGAGACCCCTAGTAGTTATATCCAAGCACTTGGGCTGGACGGTAGAGCGACGGCCTCGCTTCATGCAGGTCGGGGTTCAATCCCCGACCGTCCACAAGTGGTTGGGCACCATTCCTTCCCCGCCCGTCCCATCCCAAATCCTTATCCTGACCCGATTTCCCAGTGCTATATAGTCGTAATGGCTTGGCACTTTTCCCCTTAATAACTCTCTCAGTAGTTACAAGTTCTCCTTTGGTATACCTTTTATCCTGTAATCCAGTCCCTTTTGTAATCCAGTTTATGTATAATCTTGTATTGATATTAAATCCCCTCTTTATTGTTATATCGGTTTTATTTAAACTTTTCTTGCACTGTTGTAATCGCTAATTTTTTTTCCATCTGTAATCTATTTCCACATGTAATGTCCTTACATCTAAAATCCCTTTCCACATATACTTCTCTAACATCTGTATTTCCCCTCCCATGTGTAACCCCCCCATTTGTAATCCCGCACCTTAAATCCCTTCACGACTGTAATACTTGCCCCTCCGATATTTTCCTTCAGATATGTAATCCCATCCTATCTTTAATTCCCTCCCATCTTTAATCCCCCCCCACCCTCCTATCTTTAATTTCGTCACGTCTGTAATCCATTCATATCTGTAATCCTCGCCCATCTTAAATACAATCCCATATTTAATCCCCTTTTATCTTTAATCCATTCCCATCTGTAATCCTCTCCCATCTGTAATCCTCTCCTATATGTAATCCCCTCAAATATGAAATCCCATTTGCCTTTAATCATCTTTGGGGCAAACTGACCTCTTCTATTTCACCCTTTCTCACTCTTCCTCTCTCTCTCTCTCTCTCTCTCTCTCTCTCTCTCTCTCTCTCTCTCTCTCTCTCTCTCTCTCTCTCTCTCTCTCTCTCTCTCTCTCTCTCTCTCTCTCTCTTCCCCTCCTCACATTAATTACGGTCTCCAATATAATACCCAAATTCTATTTTACGCGCGATAGTTCAGTCATTTTCCAATAGATAGGAAATATAAAAGATATCCCAGGGCGATACACGGGAATTCCGTTATCTCGGAGACATACATAATTGTATTTTCTCGGCTATTGTTTTATCCACACTACTGGGATTATTGCTATTATCCACACTGCTAGGATTACTGCTATTATCCACACTGCTAGGATTACTGTTATTATCCACACTGCTAGGATTACTGTTATTATCCACACTGCTAGGATTACTGTTATTATCCACACTGCTAGGATTACTGCTATTATCCACACTGCTAGGATTACTGCTATTATCCACACTGCTGGGATTACTGTTATTATCCACACTGCTAGGATTACTGTTATTATCCACACTGCTAGGATTACTGCTATTATCCACACTGCTAGGATTACTGCTATTATCCACACTGCTAAGATTACTGCTATTATCCACACTGCTAGGATTACTGTTATTATCCACACTGATAGGATTACTGATATTACCCACACTGATAGGATTACTGCTATTATCCACACTGATAGGATTACTGATATTGCCCACACTGCTAGGATTGCATGGTAGAATTGCAGGAATTGCTGTACACCTGCAGTGGTACAGCACTCAACTTTGTAGTGTGTGTGTGTGTACTCACCTAGTTGTACTCACCTAGTTGTGTCTGCAGGATCGAGCATTGACTCTTGGATCCCGCCTTTCGAGCATCGGTTGTTTACAGCAATGACTCCTGTCCCATTTCCCTATCATACCTGGTTTTAAAATTATGAATAGTATTTGCTTCCACAACCTGTTCCTGAAGTGCATTCCATTTCCCCACTGTGTGTGTGTGTGTGTGTGTGTGTGTGTGTGTGTGTGTGTGTGTGTGTGTGTGTGTGTGTGTGTGTGTGTAAATCACGAAGAAATTAACACATTTAACCACAAAGACAAAAAAATTACCCACAAACGACCTAAGTGCTATTGCGTAAATCAACACACTATCAAAAGTATTTCTGATAGTATTAAGTACCACGAAAAGCGTTTAAGTAGTCAATTATGTTTTTTTTCCATCGTGGTTAAATATATATATATATATATATATATATATATATATATATATATATATATATATATATATATATATATATATATATATATATATATATATATATATATATAAATATATATATATATATATATATATATATATATATATAAATATATATATATATATATATATATATATATGTCGTACCTAGTAGCCAGAACGCACTTCTCAGCCTACTATGCAAGGCCCGAGTTGCCTAATAAGCCAAGTTTTCATGAATTAATTGTTTTTCGACTACCTAACCTACCTAACCTAACCTAACATAACTTTTTCGGCTACCTAACCTAACCTAACCTATAAAGATAGGTTAGGTTAGGTTAGGTAGGGTTGGTTAGGTTCGGTCATATATCTACGTTAATTTTAACTCCAATAAAAAAAAATTGACCTCATACATAATGAAATGGGTAGCTTTATCACTTCATAAGAAAAAAATTTGAGAAAATATATTAATTCAGGAAAACTTGGCTTATTAGGCAAATCGGGCCTTGCATAGTAGGCTCAGAAGTGCGTTCTGGCTATTAGGTACGACATATATATATATATATATATATATATATATATATATATATATATATATATATATATATATATATATATATATATATGTACGGTATGTGATAATTTGAACTCAATATGAGGCAAATATTCACTCACACGTTCAAGAATTTTCAAAAGTTCAATTTCCTTCGTGGATTGTGGGTTTTAATTTGATTTAAATATTTTTTAATTGGTGCTGGATTTTTTTTCTCCTTATGCGGCCCGTAGCGGCTATATTTAGGTCTGCGTTGGTCTGCTGTCGGTACTGACCTTGATACATATGCCAGAGTATACTGCCCTTGATACATATGCCAGAGTATACTGACCCTGATACATATGCCAGAGTATAGTGACCCTGATACATATGCCAGAGTATAGTGACCCTGATACATATGCCAGAGTATACTGACCTTGGTCTGCTGTCGGTGATGCAGACCTATCTTGAGGTTATCTTGAGATGATTTCGGGGCTTTAGTGTCCCCGCGGCCCGGTCCTCGACCAGGCCTCCATCCCCCAGGAAGCAGCCCGCGACAGCTGACTAACACCCAGGTACCTATTTTACTGCTAGGTATCAGGGGCATAGGGTGAAAGAAACTCTGCCCATTGTTTCTCGCCGGCGCCTGGGATCGAACTTACGAACCTATGCAGACGTTTTCTCAGTGTTTTCAAGGTGATGACAAGATTCACACTCAGCATAGTTAAATTGTCCTTGCTTTTCTCTTCTAAAATAATCATTCATGAAAGCTTTTCATGAAATCTTTTTTCGAAACGTTTCTGGCATTTTCCCAGATATAATAAAATCTATAAAACTAATATCCATCAAAAAGACTGGATCCTGATCTCACTTCCAGACACAAAACAATAATATACGATTTGGAAAAAGGAAAAAAATATATATGTTTCAATACATAACGACAAATGAAAGACATTGACGATTCGAGCATATCGTTCAGCGACCACTGGAAGCGTCATTAAAGGCTATAGTTATGTAATGTTTGCTTCAGGAATCGCTCTTAGGGTAACGTGAATCCCAAATTCAATTCCTTTGAGTTTCCTGTAACTGTTCAGGTACGCAACGGAGTTTTAAGAGTGTGGCTTTAGGGGGGCTTTTAAGAGTGTGGCTTTAGGGGCTTTTAAGAGTGTGGCTTTAGGGGCTTTTAAGAGTGTGGCTTTAGGGGCTTTTAAGAGTGTAGCTTTAGGGGCTTTTAAGAGAGTGTAGCTTTAGGAGCTTTTAAGAGAGTGTAGCTTTAGGGGCTTTTAAAAGAGTGTGACCTTAGGGCAGCTGTGGCCAAGGCGCAACAGTTAAGGCAGAAATATTTATTTCCAGTCACGTCTGGTCTGCCCATTTGTAACTGGGGTGTGGGGGAGGGACCTGGCTGTAAATCAATTGGCGGATCTAGAGCCGTGTGGGCCACGCTTCCCAGAGAGACTTAACAATGAGCTTCGGTAAAACAGAGCTCTCGGCCTGAAAGGGAAAGAAAAAACAGATTCGAAGATGGCGCAATTCTCCGTTTTTGTACTCTTCAAGTAGCGAGGAAAATTATACTCTACACGAGAGGCATTAAATACAGGTTCTTGAGCCTCAAGGCAAGCGTCTGAGGCTCACTTGAACCCTGGTTCGAGGCTCCCAAATGATTTTTTGTATTCCTGGCTTTTGAAAATCTTTTGTGAACTCAAAACAAATTGAACAAACTCTTAGCGAAGGAGAGTGCAATTAGCGGAATGGTTCTTGTATTAATGTTATAGTTCTAATTCCCTGTGCCAGAGGTAAGGAAATTATGAAGAAAGTTTAAAGCCCGTATAGTTATTCAGCGCTGGGATGGGATATGAGGACAAGGAGCTGGGATATGAGGACAAGGAGCTGGGATATGAGGACAAGGAGCTGGGATATGAGGACAAGGAGCCAGGATATGAGGACAAGGAGCTGGGATATGAGGACAAGGAAATGGGATATGAGGACAAGAAGCTGGGATATGAGGACAAGGAGCTGGGATATGATGGTAAGGAGCTGTGATATGAGGACAAGGAGCTGGGATATGAGGACAAGGAGCTGGGATATGAGGACAAGGACCTACGATATGAGGACAAGGACCTGGGATATGATGGTAAGGAGCTGGGATATGAGGACAAGGAGCTGGGATATGAGGACAAGGAGCTGGGATATGAGGACAAGGAGCTGTGATATGAGGACAAGGACCTGGGATATGAGGACATGAAGCCGGGATATGAGGACAAGGAGCCGGGATATGAGGACAAGGAGCTGGGATATGAGGACAAGGAGCTGGGATATGAGGACAAGGAAATGGGATATGAGGACAAGAAGCTGGGATATGAGGACAAGGAGCTGGGATATGATGGTAAGGAGCTGTGATATGAGGACAAGGAGCTGTGATATGAGGACAAGGAGCTGGGATATGAGGACAAGGAGCTGGGATATGAGGACAAGGAGCTGGGATATGAGGACAAGGAGCTGGGATATGAGGACAAGGACCTGGGATATGAGGACAAGGAGCTGTGATATGAGGACAAGGAGCTGGGATATGAGGACAAGGAGCTGAGATATAAGGACAAGAACCAGGGATATGGAATTCTGAGTGAAGAAATAGTGTTCCAGCTCGTGAACCATCGGGGGATCGAACGCCAGTCCTGTAAATAATAAAATTGTAACCATCTCATTCATGCTTACGAGAGTGTCAACAAGATGCCATCTACTAGACCCAACGATGAGTATTCGTTCATAGTGCTTGAATACGAACGCTTTAGAAGCTCTCTAGCTTCGTTAGGTCCGTCTGGAAGCATAGGAGAAGGCAGCTAGGTGACCGGAGGGAAGCCTTGCGTCAGCAAACCTTGACGCAAAGGGACGCAAAAGGAAGAAAAAATGATTTAAACGTTGACGACAACACGAAGAAGCGAAGTAAATTACGGAAACTCGCTCTGAAAGTTTCATCCTACAATCAGTGTTGTTAATTGGGGCTGGTGTAAGCCAGTTTACCTGCAGCCGAAACTTGGGCCCAGATTCATGAAGCAGTTATGCAAGTACGTACGAACGTGTACATCTTTCATCAATCTTTGGCGGCTTTGGTTACATTTGTTAAACAGTTTACAAGCATGAAAACTTGCCAATCAACTGTTGTTATTGTTATAAACAGCTTCCTGGTGCTTCGGGGATCCATTTTGGCTGTTTAATAATTGTAAACAAAGCCGCCAAAGATTGAGAACAGATGGACAGGTTCGTTAGTGCTTGTTCGTAAGGGCGAGATTGGAAGGGATTAGCTCCATTTGCGTACCTAAGCACCCGGGATTACAAGGAGATGATGGTGTATGTATTAATCCTCTACCAGGGGCCCCCCTCACTATCTTCTCGCCTCCACTACCACCACCATCTCCACCATCATCATTAGTATATCACTCAATATCATCACCATCCTCACCATCAGCATCACCATCACCACCACCATCACTTCCTAAACTCCTCCGCATATGATTACGCTACTCAGACTTCCAAATATTTCCCCCCATCATATTTTAACTTATCTTTTCCAAGCAATTTGGTGATGGCTGTTGCCATAACCAGCTCTCATGATATATCACAAATCATCACAACTTTCCGCATCTGGCGGGATTTAGAACTGTGGAGTAGCAAGGGTCCGGGCTGGATCTGCCACATTTTGCTAACTTGGCCGATACATCACCGCCTGACGACCAATTGTGGCTGCGGGTCCCGTTTTGTTTATTTCTCTAGTGTTAGTTATGGCCGCAAGGTGGCTCTGGCGCTGCTGAGAATTTGTATTCCTTACCTAAATTCTCCGTTCCTTATCATCTCATAAGCTTCAAAGGGATGTACTGTGGTGAATCCTATTTTGAAAAGGTCCAATTATGTAATTAAACCCATCGTCGTGTTCACAATGAATAGGTTAAATACTAATTTGTTAATAATTTATGTAAATTGGTATGTGGCGTATATCTTGGGCAGGAAAATGGGTTGAGCTAATGATATAGGTAATGTTGTTATTGATTCAGCTACTCGGAATAGGTTCCAAGTAGCACGGGATATGGTGAGCCCGTAACTTACCTGGCACAGGAGCGGGGAATATAGGTAAGAATAACAATGCCATTAAAGAATACTAGTACAGGTTCTTGAGAGTACAGTTTGTGCCTAAGATCTTCCTTTCCTGTCACCATTCCATCCACTGTGCCCTGTGAAATATTACAACTTCACTGACATATCTCAGGTTATTATATCACCACATCCACAATTATAACCACTACCACCACTACCACCATCACTGTGGTAAGCCTACACCAGTGCCCCCCTACAGTGACCCACACACTCAGCGACCTGTCCCACTAACAAGGCCAAACTTGGTCGACTTACCCCATAAATCACTTTACCCCTCACGCCCCGAGGGTAAATATATTCCATTATACGTAACTCTTGTCGTGTTGGTGTCAAAACTGGCGCGAACACTGCCACGACTTCTCTCAACAAGTCGTCCACCTTTAATATCAAAACCCAAATAATAGGTGAAGCCTCCATTTTTAACCATGTTCAATTACTTGGATTGGTCGTTCAACTACTTGGACTGGTTCTTCAACCTACTTGGACTGGTCGTTCAACCACTTCGACTGGTCGTTCAACCACTTCGACTGGTCGTTCAACCACTTGGACTGGTTGTGCAACTACTTGGGTTGGATGGTAGAGCGACGGTCTCGCTTCATGCAGGTCGGCGTTCAATCCCCTCGACGGTCCACAAGTGGTTGGGCACCATTCCTTTCCCCCGTCCCATCTCAAATCCTTATCCTGACCCCTTCCCAGTGATATATTGTCGGAATGGCTTGGTGCTTTTTCCCCCTGATACTTCCCTTCACCTACACCTTGCCACACTAGCAATCAGTTCACCTCTTCTTTTTTATCAAGAATTAGATAACAACTGAAAATAAAAACTACTGAATTGAGAGATATTCAAGAGCTACAGAAAACGGGAAGTATTGACCCCGGGAAGTGATTCTGTCTGGTAAACAGTCCTTATGGACACTTGCCATTAGTGTCCATCAGTCCATCACGGGCTCACCATAGCCCGTGCTACTTGGGACTTTTAGTTCCCAATAGCTGAATCTTAAACAACAACAAACAGTGAAGCGGTAAAGGAATCTGACTCAGAAACTTGAACATAAATTCCTAAAGTTTTTGGAATTTTATTACAAGTTTTTAACTAGGAATCATTCTGGACTTATTATATCACGTATGGCAGACCAGTCCTGGAATATGCAGCACCAGCATGCAGTCTGTATACACGTTAAATGCGTGCGCGCATACACACGCACACAGGTGTGTACATTTCCTCAAGAGTGCACGTTTCCACCGCCTTAAAAAGGCAAAGGCAATTACCTGCAGGCGCCGGGATGATATTGGTGACACACACACACACACACACACACACACACACACACACACACACACACACACACACACACACACACACACACACACACACGGCCCGCCTCAGTTGAGAGGCGGACCGAAAGAACAGAGCTCAACCCCCCGCAAGTACAACTAGGTGAATACACACACACACACACACACCTCGATAGTCTGAGTGGACAACGCTCGGGATTCGTAATCCTAAGGGGCCCCGGATCGATTCCCAGCCGAGGCAGGAAAAAAAATGGGCAGAGTTTCTTTCACCTCATGCCCCTGCTCACCTAGCAATAAATAAGTACCTGGGAGTTTGACAGCTGCGACAGGATACATCCTGTGTGTGTGTGTGTGTCGACTGGAGAGAAACATATGCAGTATATATGATATAGGAAAATATGTTGTGAATCAGTATATAAACGACGATTAGAAAGTCGGGGTCCAAGAGCTAAAACATCTCGATCCTGCCTTTACAAATAGTAAATAGACACACACACACACATCCTCCCCCCCCCCACCCCCCCCCCCCACCACACCCCACCACCCCCACCCCCCACCCCCCCCCACCCCCCCCCCCCCCCCACCCCCCACCCCCACACCCCCACCCCCACCCTCCCCCCCCCAGTGTTTGTGTGTGAACCTGCTACTTAACGACACATGAACATATAAACGCAGAAATTTACATAAATTTACATAAACCACACAATGTACATTAGAACACCGTAAATAAGTCGTAGAGGCCAGGTGAAACCGGCCAGGAGGCTGACCTAAAGCACTGCCAGA